TTGAGTTAAATTAAAATAAAAACAATGTCGACAAAAAAGTTTAGTAGTGTAATATGGAAATATTTTACGATAGTAAATGAATTTTGCATGATAAAATTTTTGCAATATGAATGTGCCAAATATGTGATTTTAAGAAATAAAAAGTGATTTGAATTGAAGTTATTAGTATTTTATTGCTACCTATCTTTAAAATTTCATGTAAGTAATGAAATTCATTAAGATAAAAGATCCGTTAAAGATCCACTAAAAAGTAACGGATACGGATCTTTTTTTTTCTCTCGGATATTTGCGGATACAGATACGGATACGGATATCCGGCACATCACTAGTTTTAAGGAACAGCCGTTCTAATGCTTTATTAATGTTTATTGATAAAAGGAAAATAAGTTTTATAACTGTATATTCTTTAAATAGTAAATCATTAGGCAAAATGCGTATAATGCAGAATAAGTGCATCAGAATATTTGTAACAATAATTAAATCCTAATTAGAAATGACGACTTTGGTACTATACAAAGCAATCCCTAATAGGCCGGGAGAACAAAACAGATTCGAAATTTTAAACGCTTAATATATTCTACTTAAACATCTTTTCCCCTTTTTTTAAGATTTATAAATTCTAATGATAAGCTAATAAATACACAGTGGTCAATTGTTTGTATATAATCAATACCGTCTATTAAACAGAGCGGCCACGTCTAGATTTTTATGAAGATCGATTCAACTTTTGTCAAAGTCAACAAGTTTGGCTCAAATGTTTTTACTCATGTTTCAACAATTATAACACGTGAAATTTTTATATTGCCAATTGATATCTAATTAAAATAATAACAATCAATCAGGTTTCGCTACGTTTATTCACACACGTGTGTAAAAAAACACATGGCTTGTTATGTACGTAATTTTTACTTTGTGTTGTACCTGCATCGAGTTATTTCTTATTACCCTACTTCTTAATTCCGGAGTTCTTAGAACAACATCTGAATATTTCGTCTTAAAACTGTAAAAAGAATTTTCCTGCCATTCTCTTCTCTTCATAAAATCGATGAAAGATTTTTAGATTTTCTGCTAAATCAAACGCGAATTTTTAAAATTCCAATCTAGTTAGTGGCTTTAGACGGTTGTCTATTTCTTTCACATGGTTACAAAGTTGCATTAATATACAAATCCTCAGAAATTTTCATGAGTAATTTGATCTGAATATATCGAGTTTTGTCCCTTATTATTAAGCTACAACACGCATTGCGACTAGCCGAATCTTGGTTTGATGGAGTCATCATATATTCTCAGTTCTCATTTTGGGGGTAAAAATTAATCATTGCAGCTTCAATGGATAATTTATGCTTCTTTTTTGGGGGCATAAATTACTCATTGCGTCTTCATTGCGACAAATATTTTTGTGAATTTCTTGTTTTGTTTGCATTTTCAGTGATTGAACTTTTTTCTCCAATCTGGCGGTACCCCACGTAAAAGTGGGAGATTTTTTCTATTGGTAGAGATCGGCAATAGTTAACTACTCTCGATATAGTTACCTACTAATTACAATTGTTATCCTTACTTTGTAAACTGCTAGATAACTACATATTTAGTTTCAACTACTCTAACTAGCTTTCTATTTATAATATTATCTTGGAGTAACCTATAGACGATATTGGCGCAAATTGCCATTGTGCATGTTCGACTCGAAAAGGCGCAAAAATACTTCCGGTAAAGTGGCAGCTTACTAGAGTTATTTAATAAATATAAACACCGGTCCGCTACTGATCTGACTAAAATTAGAAACAAGAGGACTAGTGTGAAAAGTCCTTTTAAGACGGGTTCTTAATCAGAAGTCCACTGACCCCTTGGGAGTCCTTAGCTTGGACGAGTAAAAATCAACTTTAACTTTCCTATATTTTAAATGTATTATATTGTTCATTATTGTGTTAAGAAAGAAGCACATACAAGGTATATTACTACAGTAGAGCCTCGATTATCCGACTCAATTGGGGACTGGGGTTGGTCTGTTAATTGAAAAGTCGGATAACCGAAAAGTATGGAAAAAATGCATTATTAGTGTAGTATATTATTATATCCCAAGTAATTAGTATATTAGTATATTAGTATATCGCTATTAACCTACTTCGCGNTTAGTGGCTTTAGACGGTTGTCTATTTCTTTCACATGGTTACAAAGTTGCATTAATATACAAATGATTAAAAGAACAAACAAAGATATGCAAAAGACACCTATTTATTGAGCAACCGGCAGCTATACAGGCTCTATACGGCGAGGCATACTATCAATGAGGCGATTAATGGTCTCCCGAGGTATTCCTTGCCAAACTTCGTCCGCTGCGGCGCGCATGTCGTCAACTGTGTGTGGCGGCGGTCCCCGGTGCATCTCACGTAGGACGAGGTTCCACAGGTGTTCGATGGGAGAGAAATCTGGCGATACTGCCGGCCAGGGAAGGATGCAAATTCCGTTCAGGCTGGTGAGAATTCGCCGGTGCGATATGTGGTCGGGCATTGTCTTGCTAGAGTATCGTTTCGGGTGTGGCCTGCACCAGTAGCCGAACCACAGGTCCCACAATTTGTGTGACGTAGTGGTCCGCTGTCAAAGTAGCGGAAATGTGTACCAGAGCTGGCCGCTGATTGAACATAATGCCTCCCCAAACCATGATGCCCGGTGTGGGGACAGTGTGACGCTCAGTATTTTT